CTAAATAATTATAAAGGGAATCCTTAAGCATCTTGCTTAATAATATATTAAATAAGCGTTTATTTTTTAATTTAATTAAGTTTATATTTATTAATATATAATTCTTTACGTTAAAGTTAATTATTCATTTTATTGCTTAATATATTATAAAGGATATTGAAAATTTATATAGCTTAACATGTACTTAAGGGTTTCTTTTAATCTTTTTTAAAATTTTAAATTGCTTAAAGTACTAAATTAATTTTCTCTTTTTTTAAGTAAATTAATATAATAAATATTAATTTCTAGCATATTAAATATTTAAATAAGTAAAGTGGTGCGAAATTAACGCGAAAAACAAGGACGCGATTTGCATTAAAAACAAATACGCCTACTAAAACTTTAAACTTTTAAATTAACACCATACCCCTACCATAACCTTTAAATTAACCAAATTAATTAAAAATAAAATCGCCAAAGCAATTAGCACCAATTAATACCAATTTTTATTAAATTAATTGCACTAAGTAGGTATTAAGGTTGATAGAAGTTGGCAAAAGTTGCAAAAGTATCTAAGCATTTAATATATCTGGCTAACTAATAAACCACGTTATATAATAATATATAATATATAATATATAAATAAAACTTAATTTCTTTACATTTATTTTAATAAACTTAAGGTTATAAAGGTTTTTAAAGGCTTAATAGCTTAATAATATAATATAAGAGGATAATATAATGCTTAATAATTTAAAGCCTCTTAATATTATTTTAAATAAAAGCTAAGTTTAACTTTTAATTAAGCCATTATTTATTTATTTATTTATTTATTTATTTATTTATTTATTTATTTATTTATTTATTTATTTATTTATTTATTTATTTATTTATTTATTTATTTATTTATTTATTTATTTATTTATTTATTTATTTATTTATTTATTTATTTATTTATTTATTTATTTATTTATTTATTTATTTATTTATTTATTTATTTATTTATTTATTTATTTATTTATTTATTTATTTATTTATTTATTTATTTATTTATTTATTTATTTATTATTTATTTATTTATTTATTTATTTCTTTATTTATTTCTTTATTTATTTCTTTATTTATTTCTTTATTTATTTCTTTATTTATTTCTTTATTTTTTCTTTATTTATTTATTTATTTATTTATTTATTTCTTTATTTATTTCTTTATTTATTTCTTTATTTATTTCCCTTTCTCCCTCCCTTTATTTCCCTCCCTTTTTTTCTTATTACTTATTACTTATCGCTTATCGCTTATCGCTTATCGCTTATCGCTTATCGCTTATCGCTTATCGCTTATCGCTTATCGCTTATCGCTTATCGCTTATCGTTTATTGCTTATCTTAGCCTACCCCGCATGCGGGGAAAAAGAGCTAATTAAAAGCGTTAAATTTGAAGATCTAGGCATTATTAAGAGTTTATATAAAAAGCTATCTTAATTCTTAACATTTAACCTTTATATTTCTATTTATTTCTTTAGCAAATTAAGGTTTTAAATTATGCAACCAGAACCATTATATAGAGAAAAATTCAGAGAGTATTCTCATATAGTTAGTTTTCTATAAGAGAAAAGTAATATTTTTTGGTGGGAGATGGGTATTAGAGCTTATTCCTCGGACGGGATACAAAACCATTCTAAAAGAATGGCAAATTACTTAATTAAAAGTAATATATATTATAATTATTTATAAAAAGTTATTTAAATTAATAAATTCCTTAATTTTAAATCATTTATAAATATAAGCTTATAAATATAAGTTTATAAAGTTTTAATATTATTATTATAATTTAATACTTAGTTTTTTTGCTTTTTTTAAGTATTATTAATATTAAGTTTAAAGGATATTTATTATATTTAACTTAAAGAATATAAAGTTATTTTTAATATTTTAAATTATTTATTAAATAAAAAATATTTTATATTTATTATTTTAATTAAATATAAAAATTAAATTAAATTAAATATTATTTTTTATATTTATTTTTAAATTTTTTATTTATTTTTAAATTTAATTACCTTATTAAAAACTAAGGTAATTTATTATTAAAAATATTAATTATATTCCTTTTTTAATTTATTAAAAAATAAGGGAAAAAATAAAGTAAGTATTATTTTATTTTTTAAAAGCTTATTATTACTTAAATACTTTTAATACTTATTATATAAAACCGTTTAAATATTTCTTTTTTTTTAATTATATAAATTAAGAATTTAGTTTTAAGATTATATTTAATTACTTAATAAGGGTTATATTTAATGCATTAAGATTTATAAATTTTAAATATTTTTTAATTTAATAATATAATTATAATATAATAAATTAAATAGGAAAGGAATAGGTATTTAAATAAATTACTTAATTAATAAGGTTTAAAAAAGTATTTATAATTATTATATAAATATATATTTAAAAATAAAAGAAAATAAATAATATAAAATAAATATAATTAAAATACGCTTTATATAATTTATTTATAGCTTATAAAAAAGAAAAGATTATTTTATATAAACTAAGCTTATAATTATAAAAGGCTATAAGTATTATAAGGGGTTTAAAAGCATAATTATAAAAGTATTTATCTCTTAAGAGTAGTTTAAAAAGAAAAAATAAAAGAAATCTAGCTATTTAAGCATTTCAGAAAGTAATTGCAAACCAGGGTTAGGGATGTGCGTGCAACAACAACAGGTAGACAGCTGTAATCCAAGAAGGCTTACGATGTTCTGTCGGACCCATGGTCCGACAACCGCGAGTTCATCCAGATAAAGTGATCCAATACAAGCAGCATCTGATTCCCGCAAGCGTGAGTGATGGGTTATTTTCTCCCCCCCCCCAAACCCCCTAGGGGGCCTCTCTGTCTCTGAGTCTCTCTGTGACAGCTGTGTTGCTCAACAGTATGAGTTTTGCTGATACATAGTTACAGACCCCACTCTCCACCATAACATATCTTATTCATTTTGATCCATTTTTTTTTAGATCCACACTGATTTAACCCTGATCGGTGGCTTAATCCACCCGGAGAGGGTGCGTCACTGAAGCGATTCCTCGTCGCCTTTACGAAAGGGAGCCGCCAGTGTCTAGGCATCAAGTGAGCATTTGTCATTTCACGCACGGCGAGCTCGTCAGAGTTCCTGTATCGATGATAGTCTGCTAACTCGCACGTGATTGAGCCTGGCGTACGCCGAAATTTACCTGACCCTAGCAAAGTTGATCACAACTTATGACATGGAGCTTCATGAGACGGGACATGAGGATGTCGAGATACACCACGGGCGGTTGACTGGGTTTCCAAAACGCGGCAAGGGCAAGATCAGCGCCAAATTGACGAAAAGGCATGCCAATTAGGTTTATATCATTTGGTGCGACTTGTAACTTAGAAGAAGAGGATTCAGACTGGTGCTAGTACCTGTCTGTGACATCTGGAGGCATCAGGTTGCCAAGGTGCGCAGTGCGTTTCCCGCCCACACTGCTTCGGGCCCCGAAGAGGCTTGGCATAAATAGAATTAGTCAAACCCTTCCTCAAATGATACACACCATGCGTTCTTTTCTATCTAAACGGCCATATTGTAGTACGGTGGCTTTGTTTTCCTTCCGATTCTCGGGCGCAATTCCGCCTAGAAATACGACAAGCCCACTCGCAATTTTAGTGTCCTGGGGACACAAAGAAAAGCACAAAATTGATGAAACGGGAATTCACACCCCCGAAATCGGAAGGCACATACCCGGATGTACCTCCTAGTGCACAAACAACATCCATAACCCAAATTCTGTCCATCCAGCCAGTCCTTTCTTAACTTTATTATTATCCTATCTCTTCCCAGGCTAGTAATTAAAGTAGAAAAGGGCTGGTTATGTCAAGGGCGGATGGTGCTAGCAGGTACTGCTAAGCACCACTCAAGGCCTAACCCAGTATTCTTTATGTTTCCAAAGTGAGTAAGATGCTGTTAAGATGAGTAAGATGTCTTCAAAGTGAGTAAGATGCTGTCAAAATGAGCAAGATGCTGTCAAAGTGAGTAAGATGCTGCCAAGGTGAGTAAGATGCTGCCGAGGTGAGTAAGATGTCGTCAAAGTGAGTAAGATGTTAAAGTGAGTAAGATGTTAAAGTGAGTAAGAGGCTTTCAAGGTGAGTAAGATACTTTCAAAGGTATGAGAGTAACTTTGAAAAGTAGGGGTCCCTATAATAGGGGCATCTTTTGCTGTTCTAGGAGGTACATTAGGGGGCGTGCCCTCTGGTTTTGGGGGTTTTGGGGTACGAATCTTCGTTTTCAAATCAACAGCCTTGCGCATCTCTCTCCAGCCGTAATCAAACGCCTATGCCAATGGGACTCACTCTCCAACAACCCTGGGCCAAACAAATAGCATCACATTCCATTTGTCTCGGTTCAAGCGGGGAATCTGAAAGTAATACTTCTGTCTGAGATACCTACGTATGCAATCATCCAATCAGTCTTCTGCGACTGATTGATGTGCCTGAGGCTGGTAATACCTGTTGAAGTTCCCTGTAGAGCTCTGATATTTCCTACTGAGGTAGTTAGGCTCCCAGGACCTGCCTCCCATCTTGCAGGAATGGGTGCAAAACACTCAAGCAGAAGAAGAGTCTCTTTTGAAACAAAGAGGCTACCAGCCTAGGCCGGAGATCGCGATGGATTTGAGCAGAAAATAAAAGGCTTAGTGTAAAAGGCGATGATATAAGAAGCCCACTCTGTCCTGCAGGAACACAAAAAATCCAGACACCCGCCATTGAATATCATTTCTCATATCGGGATAGCCATGTCCAATGCTTCGGCGTCCGAACTCGGCTTCCGTTGATTCAGCATACTATAATCAGATGTGACGTGTCAGGGGCTCCAATATTGCGATCCTCCATTGTGATCCTTCATTGTACTTAAATACGAGCACCCCCGCCCCATTGTCTGTAGACGAAAATGCCCGATAATCTGCTCCATTCAATACGCCACGCTCGCAATCGTGACATCAGACCATGGGGACCGAGATCCAGTCTTTTCCACTCGAATCATATCTCGCGGTCCTGGTACGCTTCCTGGACGCCATTCAGTATTGCGATACCAGCTACTCTCGAGAAGATGGCCTAGCCATCCTCCGCGAAGTCTACAGCCAAACGGCGCAGCACTTTTCCCGCCCGGAACAAAAGCAATCCCTCAATGGCATCTCAGACCGTCAGCTGGAGGTCATCATGCGCACAAGCGCCCAGGTCACGGTTCATTGCTGGACCAAGTTGACACCCCAAGAGTTGACTGCCGTGAGCATATATTGGGTCTACATTGTCATCCTGGACGATAGTAACGATAACCCCCATGATGGAATGTCATCCTTCTTTGGGGATCTCGTCCATGGCAAGCCGCAACGACATGGTTTCTGGCGCGCCATGAATAACTACTTGCCCGATCTCCTCGCTAATTATGGGCCCTTTTGCTCGTTCAGTATCGTCCGAGGCACACTTGACTGTTGGTGACTTTTCCACGCAAACCCTTTTTCTCTGCAGATTTTCTTTGCTTCTGTTTCCACTTTACTTCTGCGGGGGCTGACCAAATGATTCTTTTTGCCTACTTGACGCGCAGACTTCGAAGGTTGCTGGATTGAGCAGTACAACACCCACGGCCTTCGCGGCTCGGTCAACTTCCCAGGCTTCCTCCGCCGTCTGAATGGCCTGGGCCATGTCGTAGGCGGGACTCTATTTCCTTCCCGCGAATTCGACGACCGGGTGCAGCGGCAGTTTGAACAAATTGCCAGTGTCACAGCTGAGACAGAGCCCTATACGACTTTGGCCAACGACCTGCTCTCCTACTTCAAAGAGTTTGACAATTCCCGTGACCAAGTCAACCTCGTCCGGAACTGGGCATATGTCGAGGACATGCGGATCGAAGACGCGTTCCAACGTCTGGCGGATGAGACGATTCTCACTGGGGAACGACTTGTCAGCATGCTCAAGGACTTGGACCCTGGATTCAGGGAGACTGTGCTGGGCCTCCTACACGGCTACGTGACCTGGCACCTTTGCGACCAGCGGTACCGGATGGCGGATGTCTACCAACTCGCAAGTTGCCTGGATTCGGCGGAAGCCGCGAGATTTTGTGAATATTATGAGACTACCATGCGTGTATGGGGTTTTGGCATTGACGATTGGGCGAAGACAGAGTGTCTTCAAAATGAGACATGAGTCAAGGCCCTGGTCTCTCAAGGAGAACTGCCTGTCAGAGAGCTTTGTTTCTACTGTTCAGCATATTCTGTCGGCATAGGAACCGGAGAACGTGTTCCCTGCCACCAGGCGGACAGAGGCCAGCCGCTGGTACATCGAAAATTGTGTTAGAGGTTAAACCCGATTGAGAATTACAGAATGTCACCCCCTTGTTTCATCAATTTCCTTCTCGTGGAGTATATTGTTAGAGAGCCTTCGCGGAGCGAATGGGTTTCACGCCCTGTAAATCTTCTGTGGTCGCCGTTTACAACACGACTACGGGGGAGGTACACAATGTAAGTCGTAACATGTTCTGCATTTGGGGGCCACCTAGGCAGCATGGGCTCTCCCCGAACTACGGTCTTTCCGTGCGTACTCGCATGTAGGTATGTGGTCATGCGCCCTAACGCCAGTGATACACGTGCAACCGCTCGAAGGGGTGCGAAGGGGATGATATCCAGCCAGCCAGCCAGCTAGTCCAACTATTCGACCCCCATCGAATGGAGTAAATGCAGCCAGCGAATACGTAACATGCAGGAAATAGCTCCCAATTGGTCGTGCGTCACTTACCATTACAGGATGCTGCTCCATAAATTGACGAACATAGCGGTGCCCAGGCGCAGCCTGCTACTGGGCGTCACACGCATACGCTACCCATGCAGGACGAAACCCCCTGCATCTACACAGTGGCCATCCTGATACGGGATACCACCCAACAATATGCAGGTAGACTATGGACAGCAATACATTGGACAGGGAGGCTTTGGAGGGAACCGAAGATGCACACCCTTGCGCTTTGAATCGCGTCTTCAATACAAAGTATAAAAAGAATCCCCCGCAATGCAAACCGCTGCCTTCTTCCTTGCCACTCCTTGACACAGCTCTCTTGTCTCAACACAGTTACCCTGTTGTGCATTCGACCTTTCCAATTCAACTTCATTGAAAGATTCAGTCCCTGTGATGTCTGCATTTCAGCGCCTTCACGACAATGAGGAAGATGCGATCTGGCGCCAGAATGCGTCCATAATACGTCAGCTGTACCAGGAAGAGAGGAAGACACTGAAGGAGGTGAAGTTAATAATGGAGAATGAGAAAGGATTTCCTGTGACCCCGTAAGTATCGGGTTGCTATCAACGCCGCCCATAAAGTTGTCTAGCCGCCGCTGGGCCTTAACAATCTGTATTTTGGAGCTGTTTCTAATTGCATTCATTCTTCAGGATATGTATATGGGAAGTGAAATTGAGGGCTCGGAATGCAAAAGAAGCTGAAGGCAAGGGATTGGTCTTTGGTCTACCAGCATGCCCGCCCGCGTCTGCAGCAGGACGGCAAGAAGAAGCTCCGCAAGCCGACCGCAATCCTAATCAACGACACCAAGAAACCTTGGGATGACGTTTGGAGAGAAATCAGAAGGAACGGCGCCCTGATACACAGGCGTTGTCGATGTTTGTGCAAGAAGTTGCTCCAAAGAGCTGTTTCATCGCCGGCTAATACAAACTGACTCAGGCCCTCTTCCTCCACTCCCCCCTGGTGTCGTAATACGAACACCATCGCCAGAACTCCTTGAAACTACTTTTCGGAATCAGCGAACACAATCTCCCCAGTTCCTCATCCTGCAGCTTTTTCAAACCACACTCGTCAGTCTCCAACCGCTATTCGAGTTGGATCCACGACCGAGGACCGAGACTAGCGACGGGTTGAAGTACCCAGACTCAGTGTACAGGCTTTGTCTCGAAGGAATCCCCTTCACAAGACTGCTTGAGAGAATATCAGGTATTCCATGCTCTCTCCGTTCAGGTTGATACCACAAAGTTTGCTGATACCACAAAGTTTGCTGATACACCCCAGATACCGTCCAAGGAGCCTTGTCATCTCCTCTTACCGTTGCTGGGCTTGGTAAAGGCCAATATGGCCAAAGCACTTCAGTCCTCAGCCCTTCGGACAATCTCGTTGCCGCCAGATGTGCCACTTCCTGGAAATCTGAACTCACGGGCATCATGGCTCAGCTGCTGCCAGAGTCAGAGTCCGATCCTCCTCATGACCAAGATCTGAGGTCGAACCTCGATAGCCACCATTACCTATCTATGGTTATTTATCTTCTTTCTAACGACTTTGTCACTTTAACATGGTCCCAAAACGAACCGAAGTTGTCTGAGATTCTCCAAATGACTTTCACGTTCGTGTCCAGACGAGTACTGCTAGCCATACTTCACAGTCGCCTGCCAAGTGTCAAAGCTGCCTGGGAAAAACTACTATTTGGCGCTGGAGCTAGGGTAAATGAAGAGGCCTTCACAGTCTTGATAAGTGTTGGGATGGACAACGACTGGCTTGACGAAAATCACAGAGGACACGACTACCTGTTCTCTGCAGCAAAAATGAACCTTTCACATATCCTCCGTGCCCTAATAGCCAGGGGTTGTCGCCCAAATTCGTACCCCAGCTGGTGCTACAGAGAGTCAATCGTTGTGGAAGCACTTGAGAATGGCAACCTCGATTGTGCAAAGCTTTTAATCCAGCACTGCGATGTCAATCGTGAGTTCCGGACTAAATTCAACAGTCATATATCAACCGATTTCGTCAAGTTCATTATGGGTTTCGATGACACTAAAACGGATCATCTTTGTTGCCTGAAGATCTTTCTAGAACAAGGTGCGGATGTCGACTACGAAATTGACCCAAACCATCCAATGCAACTTGGTGGAGGCTACTGGTACGACGCAGCAAATGAATGGCCGCTTTCGATACTCGACTACGTTTATTATTTTCGTCGCCCGTCGTTCCTGACGCTGGCTCCGTTCAGCAAGGTACCATTACGATTCAGCAGAGCAAGGGCGCTTTGGCATTTAGAACAAGGCATAGATTTGCTACGACATCATTTGACAATGGATCTGCATTTCGCCAGACCATGGGGTGAAACGCATGGAAACGAGACGAACACAGAGAATGTCTCCGAGAGGAAGAGTCGTTGCCTCGAAGTACTCTTGGCCGAGCAGTTCCTGTTGAGTTCAAATAGTCCTCATCGAAAGCTCTGCTGGAGGACAGTGCGAGGCTTATTGGAATTGGAAATTGACGTCAAGTGGCTGTCAGAAACGGGATCTATTGCAGCGAAGATGCTTCATGCCACCGCGTGCCTCATCACATCAGGAGAACGGCCAGATCAAGAATACGGATTACAGATTCTGCAATGGCTTTTGGATCGCGGCTTTCAAGTCAAAGCAGATGCTTTGCTGGCTGCTGTTCACGACCACGACGTTCCCACCCTGGAATGTCTAGCATCCGTGTGCCACGATTTTGAGAAAGAGGGCGGAGAAGCCCTGGCTCAAGTGGCTCTCAGAAGCGACTTCGACGCAATCAAGCTAGTTCTGGACATAGCCGTGGACTACAATCCTACCACTGTCCAAGAGAACAATAACATGCTCGCGGCGGCCACCGGTGCATCAAAGTTTTCTGTGATGAAGTATTTGGCCCAGCGCGGTGCCAAAACCCGAATTCGAGGGAAGGAAGGTCTTTCTTTTCTTTTACTGTCTTGGTGGACTTAATTGGGGTTCACACGAACATGCATGTGGTGTTCCTCACAGTGCAGGACATCTTCGAGAAGCATATCACAATCAGCGAGCCATCATTTCCATCGGCAAACCTTTTGGAAGCATGCCTCATGCAATGCGGTCGCGGAATAGAAGAGAGAAGGAGGATATTTGAGTGCCTATGGAAGAAAGGGGCAAAATTACGCCCCGGCTCTCCTCTCGCGCAGTGGATAGCTACTGGTGGCGGACACCGACTCGTTCAAGAGATGCTGGACGCAGATGCCGATCCAAATGGCCGCTCGTTTGACACTGATCCATTTTACACCTTTCACCATCGTCAAGGTCAAACCCCACTACAAGCTGCAGCCGGAAATGGCGACTATACCGTGGTCTGCATGTTGATGGAACGCGGCGCGGATGTGAACGAGCCAGCACTTGGCGGATATGACACGACAGCCCTGCAAGCGATTTGCGTCTGGGACCCGGTGCGACGAGAGGAAAGACTGCGAAAAGACAAGATAATAAAGCTGTTTCTCGACAAAGGGGGAGATGTTAACGCCACAAACTCCACCGGGCACACTGCTTTAATTTATGCAGCTCAACTCGGAGATTTGTCGACAACTTTTACTCTCCTGAAGCATGGAGCCAAGCTTGATGCAATATCGACGTCTTACTATCATAGCATTGACGAGCATCGGCAGACCGCTTTGGACGTCGCCGCTTGTTATGGCCGGCTGGATATGGTTGAGTTCCTCCTCAATGCGAATGCATTGAGTTGGAGCGCGTACTCTGATGGCAAAGGTTATGATGGGGCAATAGAATGGGCTAGGAAGAGAGGCCACTTTGTAGTTTCTGAACTGATCCGCAAGCACTCGGCGGACCGTAAGAGATGGGATGTACGACATGGACAGGCGATTGATGAAAGAATCTCCCCAGAGCACATACCACAAACGCTGTCGCTCCCAGCCAGATCGGAAACAGCCTCCTGGCCCCAGAATGAGAGACGACTCACGCCCAGCGAGAATCTTCAAGGTGTCGCGGTCCTAGACCGAACCAATAGTGTAAGCTATGCGCATGACGAAGACATGATTGCGAGCAGTACTGCTGCTTCAAAAGTCAAGGGAGAAAGCAGGTCCGGGTCAGATGCGACAGGCGTGAGCTGGACTCGAGTGATCGAAGAGATCGAGGACGAAGAACTACCAGCAGTCACTGGACGCGAGAAGCCTCGTGTAGAAGAAAGTGATGGGACTGCAAACCAAGCTTTCAGCACCGGGAATGCCTCATCAAGGCCAGGAGAGTGGTTGCATCAACAGAGAGACCAGAACTGGGTTGAGGACGAGCAGCAGAGTGTTGACCCGCTTGTTCCAAGCAGCTCATCTACGGATGTCTTCATGGGGTTCTCAGAGTTCCCAAGTCCGTAATTGCATTATCATTAATGCGCATATATATATTGAATAATTTACTCCAGATACTAGAATACGGCTTTGTAGTCTTCAAAAAGTTGTGATCTCGAATGCTGCGGTGATTCAGTAGAAGCCTCCCTAGTTATTCCCATACGACTTGTCAATTATACGCTTGACCAAATGATTTTCTATTGCTGATGAATGTCCCGACTCTTTGATTTGATTTCATTTGAAAGCAAACTCCCTATGTCTCGAGCTCGAGAAATTCGAATGATCGGGAGTAGTACTTAGGTAGGTCCATGTGGACAGAGAAGCATAAATAGGCTGAATGAATCATCTTGACATCCAGATACGGCGAGGACAGAACCAGGTGATATATTACAATCTCAATGACCAAGGTGCGGTATTGTGTATTGTTGAACATAGACTGCGTTCAACAGAGCTGCTGTAGGATGCAAGCGGATCAGTCTGCAGTCTTTGAGAGAGATTCGTACTATTAAAAAGGCAGAGTTATCCTGTAAGTGCTAAAAGTTTGTCCACTAAAAATTTGTCCACTCTCTGTATGATTGGTTCCTAAGCTGTTTAACATGATAACGATCCCTACAGAGTGGAGCCGGCTACTGCGCAGTACGCCCGACCTCCGCTCGTCATCTCGTGGGTGGCGGAGCTGAGGCTAGTGCCAGGGTATGTGATCCTTCGCAAAAGAGGCTGAAGAGCATGAGTAGATTTGAATCCTTCTATCAAGGTGCGTCTTGAATAACTCTTAGGCCAACCGAACGCAAGAGACTTTAAGCAGTCAACGTCTTCCTGCTCAAAGTTAGCATTGAGCCGGCCTTGACCGCTGATCTTGACTGCAGGTGGCCTTGAACATGTCCCTTCTCCAATATTCCGAATTCAAATACGATCCTCTACCAACACGGAGCTCAATCCGCCTCCTCCGTGTCCACAACACCCGCAATGGCGTCCTGCCCTCCCTATGCGGTTATCCCATACTCCACTGCTCACTTCATGTCGTAGACCTCTCCAGTGACTCAGCACCCGTCTACGAGGCCCTATCGTACACCTGGGACAGCCCCGAGACCGAGTACCAGAAACGGAAGACCGACAACTGGAAAGACCCGTACGGACCCCTGTGCAAGTGGCCCGTTGCCGTCAGGAATGGCAACTCCGGCGAGCATGCCGTCCTGCACGTGCGCAAGAACCTGTTCGATGCCCTGCTGCACTTGCAGGGCATGAACAATGTCGACCAGCGGGATGGCGAGTACGACAAGACACGACTACATGTTGCTGCCGAAGACGGTGACATGGACACCGTGAGGACCTTGCTTGAGGAGGGCGCGAGCTGTGGTGCAAGGGACTGTTTTGGCGAGACGCCACTTCATTGTATGAACATGTCCGCGTTTTCCCTTCTCACTCTCTTAATGCTATGATGAGATCTACTTGATTCACAAATTATAACAAAATAGACGCCTCCGAAAACGGTTACTTCGAGATCGTCAAGGTCTTAGTGGCTTCAGGAGCAGACATGAACGTCTACGACAACACCGGCCGCCTGCCCGTCCAGTGCTGCATCCAGCGGAAGCGCAGAGACTGGGAGCAGGTCACGAGATTCCTGCGCGACGTGAGCTACCGCACCCAGGAGCTCCGCGACTTCAACGGCGGCGACCTCGAGATCGAGAGGAGGCACCCGCCTTTCAACAAGACGGCCCTGATCGAGGCGTCCGAGGAGGGCAGACTGGCGCGCGTGAAGAGGCTCGTTCGTCGCGGGGCGAACCTCTCGGCCACGGACGACTTTGGCGAGACGGGGCTGCACTATGCGGCTGAAAATGGACATTATGATGTCGTCAAGGAACTCGTGCGGGCGGGGTCTGGCATTGAGATCGTGGATGAGCACGGGAGGACGCCGATAGATTGTTGTACGCAACAAAAGAGAGGACAGTGGGAACAGGTTGCCAAGTTCCTGCGCGACCGTTCGTTTCGTCAAGAGGAGCTGAGCCTGACAGTTGCTGCTGCTGCTGAGGAGGTCGACTCGGACTCGGACTCGGATCAAGACTCAGTCGAGGATTTGAAGAACGAGGGTAAAGGTGCCGCAGGTGGGTTTTTCTGGGTTGACGCGATATGCATCAACCAGGAAGACCTAGAAGAGCGGAGCGCACAGGTGCAGATCATGCCCCAGATTTACAGCAAGGCCAGCTGTGTTATTGTGTGGCTTGGGGATGATAGCCAGATGATTTTCCGGCTGCTGAGAAATGTGTGGCAAGGGCCGGATCTGAAAGACGTGATTCGGCGGGTGAATAAGAAAGCCAAGAGGCTCAAGGAGCTGAAGGAGCAGTGTGAGTTATGACCACCGCCCCGGCCGTGAACAGGGTCTGCGAGTGCTCGGGGTGTCATCTCAAGTTGTTATGTCTAACCATCCGAGCGTGCCAGGGTCGGTCTCACTCCTCGAATTCCTGGAAGACCGCGCTCTTGACTGGGTCATGCCCGATGATGGGATTTTCACCATCAACGACATCCGTCTTATCCTCAGCACGTTCCTGAGGTCATGGTTTACGAGAGTTTGGTGCATCCAAGAACTCAGCCTGGCCGCCAAGATCAGGATGTTCATGGGCAAGACGGAACTAGAGTGGCACGAGGTCCTGAAATTCCTGTGCCTCCTTGCCCATCTGGGCTTCTTCCGTCCATCGAGCGTGTGGAAGATGGATAAGGGCTGGACAACGCAGGATGGAAAGGGCGGTGATGGCAGCGAGGCTTGGAGACTCGCTGAGATTCGATTACGAACGGCGAGGAACAAGGAAGAATGGGATATCGTCGATCCTATTCTGCACCGCAAGGACTGTGAGGCACCTTGTGTTCGAAAAGCAGACCGCTGTGAGTACAGTCAAACCTTTGCTGGCACATTCATTGGAGTCTTGCAGGAACTCGATCAACTTATGGCTGACATTGAAAAGTGAGTCTCCCTCTGCTCATGGCAGCCACATGGTCCTTCGAGAGCAAGGACCCACGAGACAAAATCTACGCCATCATGAGCCTTGCTGCACCTCTCCCTCCAGAAGACAAGATTACGATCGACTATGCCTCCCCCGTGGAGGACCTTTACACCCAAGTTGCCCATATTTTCATCCGCGGTTCAGGGCGTGACTCTATGTACAACCGAGGGGATGGTCTCGCGGGTATTCTGGAGCCTCTAGAAGGTCTTTCATATGTCCAGGACCCGTATTACAGCGGCCAACAGGCCAAGATGCCCGAGCTGCCCTCTTGGGTTCCGGACTTTAGCAATCCGCTCACGACAAGCCGCATCTGGCGGAGGTCCTTCAGGGCCGCGAAGACGCTGGAGCCCGTGTTTGGACCTGGTGAGGGAAAGGGTAACCTCCATGTCCTTGGAGCTGAGATTGACGTTGTCGAGGCTGTGGAGCCCGGGTGGGCTGATATTGATCCCGACGATATGCCAGCAGACCTGGATGTTGACGTGGAGTCGTGGTTTAAGCTTCTGGAGACCGTTAAGCCCAGAGATGGCGAGAGCCCTATCCACATGCTTTTCAGGACGCTTACGGTGGACAGGCTCTGGACGGGCCGTGACAAGGATACCAGGCAGCAGAGCGCTGTTTCCTTTCGTGAATTCATCGCCTGGGAGCTGGCTTGCAACATCAGAAAGACGCGGGAAGAGGAAGAGGAAGCAGCTCGTGAGTCGGAGCAAGATTCCGATTCCGCTGTCGAGATCAAGATCAGCCCATTGGCTGAAGAAGAAGCGTCCGAAACGGCTTCGGACGCTGGCTCTAGCTCTGGGGAAGAGTCTGTGGATTCCGGGGGTGGCTGGGCCTGTGATGGTTGTGACCGGGAACTCGAGGCCGGAGATTGGCATTGCGAAGGTTGCGAAGACTTCGACTTGTGCTGGGAGTGTTTCCGGGATGGCAAACTTGAGCACGACCCCAAGCACGACTTCACTCTCTACCAAATCTCTCCAAATGACGAGCACAGTTCAGAGGCTCGGGAACAGGTCGAGGCCCCAAGCCGCCTGACCAAGGTATTGCGAACCCAGAGTGCCTTTGGTTCGACAGAGTCATTGTCACTGAAACAGAAAGCTGTTATGAAGCGCATCAGCCAACTCCGAATTGGAAGATGGTTTGGGGACCACGGGGAGTTATCAGACAGCGACTTAAAGGACAGTGCATCCGGCCATGAGGAGAACGATGGCGCAAGTGTCATAACCTCAACGAGCAACAGAGGCAACGGAGACCCCACAGGCACCACGTCAGGCCTCAAGCAGTCATTGTTGTACATGCTCGGCCACCAGAGATCCCTCGAAAATGCCGCCAAGAACCAAGGAGACTTGAAATACCTCCCCACGCTCGACGAGATTCCAGCCCAAGACAAACTGACAGGGGCCATGTGGCAATGGTGCAAGTACCACGGCGACCCGTCAGCCTGCAAGACACTCGATGACGAGTCCAGTGTCCGCCTCCACATAGTTAGGGTCTATCGAAAGCGGTGCCTCTTCCGGACCAGAGCTGGACGACTGGGTCTTGGGCCCCAGTCTGTGAGGCCTGGAGATGGGGTGTGGCTAGTGGCTGGGAGCAGGACACCGTACCTGCTACGGAAAAAGGAGCAAGATAGTGAGGAAGAGAGGGAGAGGCTTGGATTCTTAGGGGAGACATATGTGCATGGTGTGATGTATGGGGAGGCAGCGGCGGGGCTAACGAAGGATAGCATGGTGAGGGTGTGTCTAGAATGAGGAAGCAAGGGCTCGGCTTAGTACTTGTAAACATTTGATGTTCAAGAGGGCTCGTGTAATTCATAGCCAAAATATACCAAGCAAGTTTAGAGGCAAGGACGTTGTGTGGATAACTCCAAACACTGACATCTCTTGCAATGTCCCAGTTGTTGCTTCAAAATCCACTGATGAGAATAGCACTTCCTGTTCTATCACAGGGCCAAGAATTTCTGGAGGTAGTATTCCCAGGTCATCTAGCAACTTACGTCAATCATGGAAATTGCAGTGCACGCCATGCAACCGACTATGAGGCATCAGAAGCAAATGGTGACGTTGTCAATGCACAATGGAGAGAAGCCCGCAAGGTAGAATGTTAGCCAAATCTCGAAATACAGTCCGTCCGCGCCAAGGTCTTCCTTCCGTCCCGCGCCTCCTGACAATTAACCATTGGCTAGCGTCTTTGCCCCAAGTCTTCGCCATTTAGCCTAAACACAATCCAGCGCTAAGTTTCCGGGGACCCGACCCCTTTCCACCTAACTGGGCCCTTTGCAGCCGAGGTCGACTACAGAAGTGGTAACTAACGGAAGAAGAGCTCTGAGGGGCGGGACTACTGGGCACTCTAGCTGCTACGCGTCCCCAGGGTCGCATTCATGGCAATCTCGGTTGAGCCTAATTACCAACATCTTGGTTCTTAAGGCTGAAGTAGTAGTTCGAGGAAAGGGGACGCGCGTGGCGATGGCACGGTGGTACGGAAGTTGAGCGTCGTAGCGATCGAACATAAATAACAACCACTCTTCTCACAGCATTGTTATTGCCAGTCACACACAACCAGAGTGGAATTCGCGTGTGCCCCAAAGTGCAATCTATCCCCAAGATGCATTCCAAGATCCTTCTCTCGGCCCTGGCGCTCGGCGCCTCCACATCTGCCGTCACGGTCCCGTAAGTTCACACCTCTCCAGCCAATGCAACGCCACGCTCCTCACACCCACTCGACAGGACACGAAAGCACGCCCGCCAGGCCCCAACAACCCTTGATGCCGCCTTCAAGGCCGCAGGTAAGGAGTATGTCGGCACCGCCCTCACGATCCGGGACGACCCGCAGGAGGAGGAAATTATCAAGACCGAGTTCGGGTCTATCACGCCCGAGAACGCCATGAAGTGGGAGTCTACGGAGCCGACCCAGGGCAACTTCACCTTCGACGACGCCGACGCCGTGGTGGCTTTTGCCACCGAGAACGGCCAGAAGATCCGCTGCCACACTCTGGTCTGGTACAGCCAGCTGCCGACGTGGGTGTCCGGGGGCGGGTTCGACAACGCTACGCTGCTTGAGGTGGTGAAGACTCACATCGATACCGTTGTGGGGAGGTACAAGGGTGTCTGTGACCAGTGGGATGTTGTCAATGAGGGTGAGCTGCCACCGATATTCATCTACCTACCAGTAACATGAGACTAACTCACACTCCACAGCCCTCAACGAAGACGGCACCTACCGCGACAACGTCTTCCTCGAGACCATCGGCGAGGCCTACATCCCCATCGCCTTCCAGTACGCCCAGGCCGCCGACCCGGACGCCCGCCTCTTCTACAACGACTACAACCTCGAGTACGGCTCCGACAAGGCCCAGGGCGCCGCCCGCATCGTCCAGCTGGTCCAGTCCTACGGCGCCCGCATCGACGGCGTCGGGCTGCAGGGCCATCTCACCTCGGAGCCGACGACCTCTTCCGGGGGCGGCGTGGCGCCGGGGCTGTCCACCCTCGAGACCACGCTCGCGCTGTACACGGACCTTGGCGTGGATGTTGCTTACACCGAGCTTGACGTGCGGTTCAACACCACATCTGGAGATCTGGCTACGAAGGAGGCCGCACAAGCAGATGTTTATGTCAATGTTTTCCAGTCGTGTCTCAACAACGAGCGCTGCATTGGCATCACTATCTGGGGTGCTACAGACAAGTACTCCTGGATTCCGGGAGTCTTCTCTGGAGAGGGCGACGCGCTGCTATGGGATGACAACTACCAGAAGAAGCCAGCTTACGACGCTGTCTTGAATGCGATCAATGCGGCAAGTAACTCGACAACATCGGGGACTTCAGCGGCGAAGTATCGGTTCAGGAACGTGTCGTAGATAGTATAGTACCGGGCGGGAATTGTGGCATACAAATTAGACTAACAGGCCAGATGGTGTTGCCTTCCTATCCCATAAATTCTAAATTTCATCACCATTCTGGCTATGTCGTGAGATGAAGCCCTGTGAGATGTACCTAGACAATTTGCTTTGATTTTATTACCTCTCAAGGCGTTGTAACAACCTACGTAGATACCTCAGTAAATCGATATACGGATGACCGTATGACTACAACGGCACAAGTGAAGCTGCAATGCCTTGCTCCCTGCAAGTTGCTCCTGCCAGCTCGCTGGCGTTTATATTTTATTCTCTTCAAGTTTGTTTTGAGCCGACACCGAGTCCTGGAATTGTTACATCTAACATCTGAGCACAGGGACATTTTCGGAGCCCTTGGGCCTCCCAGTAAAGACCAAGTAGTCATCCGCCTTCAACTGCTTCTCAACCTTCTCATCCGTGACCCGATTGCTTTGTTCCAGAATCAGTCTTGTCTCCTCTGACATAATCTGTGAAACGGCATGCCACACGTTTCCCTGGCGAGAATATCTCGTGTGAACAACATACAACACCGTGATTGCCCATACGCAGATCAGATTCAAAATGACCATAACCAGAGCCGAGATCAGTCCTCCCCAGTGCCTCGGGATCCTGAGCTGAGTGGAAAAGGTGACATCGATGTCGGCAGAGACATCGAACTGAGGCAGGATCTGCGCGTACCAGCTTTCCGTGTACGTTGTCAGGAAACTTTGGATTGCCCAGGCTGCCCGGCCGGTGGTATGTATGGTCCTTGTGAACAATGCTGCAATATCTGGAGGGACCGGCCACCCCGAGAAATCACAAAAGTTGCTTGTTATGTAGCTCCCGCCTAGGGAGTCTGAGAACATGCCCGTAAACCCGGATGGGCCCATCCAGAGAGCATGCGAGCTATCCCATTCACATCTTCGGCCTTCAGGCCATCCGTGTGCCTGAAGTCCGAAATGGACAGGATCCCTCTTTCCGCAGCACTCAGATGAGAGCCAGTCGTGCCCATGAAGACTTGTCCTGGCTCAGCCCCATCCTGGCTGTATAATGGGTCCCATCGAACTTCGGGCTCTTTCGGGTCAGTCGTAGTAGACATCGTCACATTGTATAGGTCTGTTGCCAGCCCGGCGAAGCACAAGCTGACATTCAAAGCCATTGTGGGAAGAATCTGGTACATTTGCCATTCGCCAGCATTTGTTATCGGAGAAACCAGCGGGATTGAAGAATTCTCGTTATTTGCAGATTCTTTGTCCACGGTATCTGTTGTTAAGTTGGTCGAAAGTGTCAGGTAAACCCAAGGATTTGCAGCCGCTGACCAAAGTGGGTTTGAATCGTTCCACATTTTGTACGCGCTGCGCCTCGCTAGCTTGTTTGGTGTTCCAAACGACATCTGTAGGTAGGTGGCATGATGCTGTCGCTGTAAGAGGGCCTGCCATCAACGAGGGTCTCGATGGGAGGGTGCAAGTGAAATTCTGTGGTAGGCAGACAGTTTGACTGCCTTCGTCAAAGCGCCGAAAAGATGAACATAGTGCCCAATCTTTCAAAGCCTCTGTCGGCGCGAAGTTTCAAACGCTGTTGCTCCTGGAAAGGTACAAATGAGCGAAGCTTTACACCTGTATCTGAAACGCCGCCTGGACCAGGATCGGGTGTTTCGAATGATTCCAATTCACCAAATGAGGCATAGGAAGATGGGAATTGAGAGAATGATCCGATTTCGATCGCGTTCAGGGCCGCTTCAGAGGAGAACATGACTCTGTGATGCAGTTGTTGGGGAAATTGTACGAGTGTCGTTGTATTGAACCCGGACAAGAGTGGTGGAGGTGAACTGGATGCCAAAGGTCACCATTGTGGAAAACAGGACCAGGACCATCTCCACAGATAAGACTGGCTGCAGATATCTCCTCGAGAAGACTTCGCGGACCAGGCTGAACGGGCCGTCGTTGACACCTCTCTTGATAGAGACCGGAACGACCTTGGACAACGGCAGTCGACGTCGTTCGAGTAGCAGAGCAGCGACCAGAGACGTGCACACCGCAGCCTGTGCTGCCGCGACAGTTCGCAATACCAGGGAACAAATCGTGACCGTTTGCGCAGGCCACGACTCGCTGAGCATGATCTTCCTCCAGATATAAGTGGCACCCTCTCCACCGGCCAGCCCTTCTCCCGACCATAGGAAGATCAAGAAGCCAAGGACTGCTAGAGTGATGGCAGTTCCACCTGCGATAATTGTACAGGTCCAGAGACCAAGCGATTCGGAGATGGGTGGCCTTGGTATAAGCTTTTCTTCGTCTTGATCCTGCGCAAGGCACACTGAACCAGAAACGGTCGAGTTCGCTCCCGACGGACCGGATGGAGATGGTTGTTCGATAGGTTGAGCCCCTTCGGCGAGTGCTGTGTGGCTTGAGTTCGGCGATGACTGACTGGCTGTTTCGAGAGCTGGAGAACCGGGACCCAACATTTGTTGCGGCCCGTCAGCCTGATTCTCACTATCCTGTGAGACATTTTCTGAGATTCGGTCACCGTGCTCGCACACACCCTGCCGATTTTTGTCGGTAGAAGAGACTGCCTGGGGTGCAAGACTCGACGGCTCAGCATCGCCGCTCGTTTTCGATGGTCCCTGGGTCTGGAGGGTAGAGCTCTGATCTAGATCAAGAGTTTGACTATCGTGTTGGAAGCCACCAGGAGACCTCCAGACTGCCGCCGCGGGACCTTCTGACAGTACAGGCTGCTGTAAAGAAGCCATGATTACGTCACGTCTGGTGTGAGAATTTGTGGGCCAGAAGATGATGTACTGGAGGATCAGTTTCGTAAACGTAGAGAGGATTCTAGTCAGAAAGCGAAACGAGGAGACAGAAAACAATGTAGAGTTTTGGCCAGAAGATACAGTCTTTTAGTATCCCACAGCATAGCCCCCAGAGCAGCCCCAGGAATAGCCCCCAGAAGAGCTTTTCGCAATATGTGAGATGGAACATGTCTTTTCATCTGATTGGCAGGTCTTTTCAGGTCAGCCTGACCACGAGGAACAAACCTCAGATTTCGACCCCAGATGTCTGAATGCTGTGAGGCGTGAGGAGCGTTGTAGCCGATCATTGGGTGACGCAATTCCTGTTCTAATTTGTGAAGGTATTTTCATACGAAACTGGGAATGTACTCTGGTAGCACAGCGTCAAGCTGAAAATAACGCCATCAGCTGGTGACAGACAAGGCGGTAAGGCTAACAGGAATAAAAAGTTCACCAACCATCACCCAGAGGACGTCGAACGAAGCACCTTTTAATTACCTCACACCCTATCTCCCCTGCGTTTCACTGTCTCTGTGTCACATCTTGGCGATACCCCCAGCCAACCCGAGCGACTTAAGTACTACAAACTAGTTATCCGGATTCGGTCCTCAGAGCCCCCAAACATGCCTGTAGAACCGGAGGGACCTTTCCAGAGAGACCGCGAGTCACCGTTGATGCCTTCGCCTCAAGATTATCGGGGTCACCGTCCACCCGCTTCTCAAGAGTTCCATGAGCTGCGTGGAATTCGGCTGGTTGTTGCGATGGTTCTGAGAAGATGATGTAAATTTGCTTCATCCGATCATTCTGGGTTATGGAGTGATCGCGAATCCTTCTCAAGTGTAGAGCAATTTGCTAGTATCTCGCTATGAGTTCTTAATTTTGATTCAATGCCGGAGATTGGCCCCATTGCGTAACACAAACAATCCCCCCCTCCCCCCCCCCAAACCGGGGCATCCAGTTGATAGGCTCTTAATGGTACATACTACCGCCCAGCTTACATTAGTCCCAAACACGAACCTTCGACGCTGCTCTCACCGACCTGCAAGATCTCCTGTCAGAGAAAATCAACGATAGGCTGGCCGCCGTCGTTGCATACCATAATAACCCTCATACCTCCGCATCCTCTCGATCCTGTCCTGCCTAGCGACTACATACCACGCGTGCAGCAGACCGGGCAGCCACGCGAGCAGGGTGAGAAGTATGTTGAGGCAGAAGTGCGCACCGCAACCCCTTGCGATCAAGACCGCGGCCGGCGGGAGGAAGACGGCGAGGACGAAGAGGATGATGCTTGACTGTTGTGTTTTTCTTAGCCTCGTCCAGGTTCGACCGACTGCTAGGTACGGCTGATGCCTCATCGCTAGGAGAAGAGATCTGGCGCCAGGAGCTTGAGAGGGGAACTCACGGCTGCGAGGCTCATGATTTCTGCGTCAACGGATAACGCAGTGCTATTTTACTGTGAAACCAGCGGGATGGGCTGCAGCCGCCCAAAACAACCTCTTTGTGCTTGTTCGTCGACTCTAGTTAAATAGCACTTTCATGGCTTGGAATTGGAACGGAGATGACTGAGTGAGAACGTGGGAGCAAATTGACAGAGTGATGTGGCTAGGTTAACTAGGGGCTGAGGAGGTGGATTGGCCAGCTGTATTGGAGATGAAAGCATCTTCCTTGAATGCAACGCCTTATTTTCCACACATCAATGCCGATCTCACTCGCATTACACGATACTCGATTGCATGACCAGTTGGAGCTTGCGTAAGCAGGAAGGCTTTCGGTGCCGAGTCCGTCCCGCTGATTTGATGCCTGGATATCCTAGTTCTGAGATTGTCTCGAAAAATGCTGTTTCTATGTCTTCTTCCCACTAGTGTAAGGAACTCTTCATGCGTATTCGCTTGGTGTTCTACCACGGCATCATGACATCATCCAAAAATATTCACACAGGTTGCTCACAGATTTGAACATTTTCGTCAATCTGTAGGATACTAGCATCCTAATATTGACTTCGTTGCAACTATGGGCCAATGAGACACGTCGAGATTTCTCAGTCCTTCATTCTCATCTCCTTCAGCAATTCATTGACGCTCTTTTTGGGAGAAGATGCATCAGCATTAGTCCTCACTTTAATGTTCGGCTGAGGCAAGCGTGCGTTGGCGTCTTGGTCTTTCTCCATCCTGATGACGGCCCATCTATGGCGCATACTGGCTTTCCAAGACGCGGCGCTCCGCTGCTATGAGCAGTTGGTTTGTCATCTGTATTGTGGGCATTACTTTCTCGCTCTTGATTTTCGTCCGAAAACCGAAATCTTGGCATTCTTGGTGCTATCTTCCCCGATAATATTCAGATTAAATGAACTTGAAGTTCCCTCCTAGGGCATTTCAATAGCCCCTGTAAGTCCACGTGCCCACTCAAGTACCACCCCCCTCAAGCACACTCACTCGCACCAGTGATCGAATCTCAATCCATTGCCGAAGGTCTAAAAACACTCTTTCCAACTCGCCAGGTCCAATGAAACAAAGAAGCTGAACAGACCATATAGACTGCCTGTAATACGTCGCCTTATGTACAAGAGGGGGGTGGTACTTGAGTGGGTATATGGACTTAGTAATATACATTATATTTATACGAAAGATCTGAGATTGCCCTTTATCTGAGTGCCAAGGATCATTGCAATTGTAAGGTGTCTTATGATTGTCATTAGTAGGTAGAGAGATACGCTGTAAATATTTCTTGTCGAAACTGTTTGATATTCCCCTATAAATGGCCAAGTCCCCTAGGTGGTCGGGTCATCGGACACGGACTTCGGCCACGGGCAAAACCACTCAAGTTCGGCGCTGGCAACCGGACTAGACCGATGTTACACCCGATTTTGACAAATACAACCTCACCCTTGACTGACACGAGAAGACAAACTGGACCAAGATCTAAGCAAATGTCACCGGCAGAGCTGCGCGATGCCCTTCCCCTATCCCACTCTGGTGTCGTTATTACCAATAGCCTTCTCCAGCGCAACTGACAAATTGACAACGTAATCGAGTCTACCAAACGCCTTGACTCTTTCCAAAATGACCGACTTGATCGACTCATCGTCTCGTACGTCCGCAGGGACTGTGATCGTCTCGAACCCCGGGTTCGTCGCAATCGCAACTTGGGTAAGGAAGGGCCTCTTTGATGACAATGGCCGCCGTCTCATCAACGGCCGCCAATTAGATGCAGGCGCTTTTTTACAGACTCAATAGCACGGCCAAAGATCTTGTCGTTAGCTTTCCTGCCCCAGCTTGGACAGATGTCGGACATAGCACTCCCAATGCTCTCGGAGCTTGTCCTGAGTTGCGGTGCCCAGCCCTGAGCTCTTGCTTGCGAAACACGTCCATTTTCAACATTTTGAATGAACTTCTGAACGAAGACAGGTATTTCCTGCTTCTGACCGATTGCTCGGTTGCACGTGTAACAATGGGTCCTCCGCCAGTCTCAAAATTCAAAATAGATCGAAGGTTTGTGTACTTGATAACCACCCGTGTGTACGCTTCATTCCCTGAGTTGAAATATAGAATATCAAATTTCAAAACAGTACCAAAGCAAGCAAGCGCCAAGAATTTGCCCATGGCAGTGCCTTCTATGTTGAGCTCCCACTCGTCCCGAAAAACACAACCAGCACAGCCGTATAAGCGGCGGTCGCGGCCAAAACGTCCTTACCAGTACCATCGGAAGCCCCAAATGCCAAAAGAAAGGCAAACAGAATCGTTGCGACCGACACAGTGACCAGATTGGTATTTCGAGATGGATAAAGAACCATGACCAGGACTGGGCATATCAGAGCAATCCCGCCGAATATACCCATGAGGATTCGTTGGGTAAGAGCTTGCTTTTCTGCCCTGCGTAACCTCCCTTGCTGGTCAAGCTCGCGGAAGCCTAGCTTTCCACATGACTCTTCCATCATGTCGACTGCTGACGATGGGCCGAGATTGACGGAGAGTCGTTGAGACACGATGCGAAAACTCTTCGTGAGAAGCTCCCACTCCAAGGGGTTCCTAGAGTCTCCGGGGAGCAGTCTTAACATAGCTCTGTGGCTTCCGAGAGAAAACATGAATGCTTCTAGCCCGGGAAACGTTTTCAAAGCAAGCTTGGCGACTCTGTCACCAAACGTCCTTGGGATTGTGATTTCACGCTCCTCACCCGCAGTTCCCATGCTGCCGACCAAGCGAGCGCCGATAGGGATTGTGGGCAGTGCATTCACTGAAAGTGTTTCGTAGTCTCTCAATGCCTGCGCTGGTAAAATTGAGCAAAAAGATCTGAAGATGGCCCAGGAGGTTCAGTGTATAGTTACCCACCGTAAGCCCTCAAAGTCTCATCCACCCGGTCAGCATGATCAGGAAGCAAAGGCTCCCTCGCCATGGAAAGTCCAATCAGCTTGTCTTGAAGTGCTCCAATCCGCTTCAATTGGAGATTTCGGAAGCTAAGGACAATGACTTTATCTGCAAGAATATCGGTCGCAGGCTCGGGAGGGTGAGACTGGCCATCTGCCCACGGCGGACGGGTTGCGTCGTCGCTCAACTGCGTGCCGGGAGCCTGCTCCACGTCGGCTTGAGCATGCTCCATGCCAACTTGAGGTTGGGGATCTGCCATAATCAGCTTGAAGATTTTCCTTGGTGAATATGTTTTCTACTGGAGAGAGACGTGTTTTATGACAAGACCCAGACTTTGCTGAGGTGCCGTCACGCGCCGCTGACACACTAGGGACCAAAAGGGATTTCGTCTGTAACCCAACCCCATGTACAGCGTCAGCAAATAGACTTACTCAGCCGCAATGACTGGGTAGATAAAAAGAGAAGGGATATTCGGACACTTGAAAACAGAGGTCGCACGGCTTTTCTGATTGTCCACTTGACTCAAATGTTTATTGCAGATCATTCGTTTCTCTCCCCTTGTTCCTCTTTCTGGTAGCTAGGGGACTTACCAGCTGCTCTAATTCCAACCTAACCACAATACACATCTCACCTTTTAGGTTTAAAAACTCCTTACAACATACATTCTCGCTCATCCAATAACTCTTCAAATTATACTTCCCAAAAGATCTTCAAGCAGGGCGATTATCTATTCAATGCAGACGTCGCATGTTTAGAAGCCAGTTCATGTCATCACAACGAAAGAAACTCGTCAATCTTTCCATTCAAGCCATATTTATTGTCTTCCTAATAATCTCAAGATCCCACCCCTGTTCGCACGATCGGAATTTTTGGCATCCTTAGCTGACGTGCCACTTGTCGCCGACCCTGAGCCCCTCTGGAAACGGATCCTCGGGGTGGAGCACAACTTGCTTAAAAGCCGTGATCCAGGCAGTGCCCCTGACGGCGGGGATGATGGCATCATATCCCCCAACCCTGGCCGCCGCGCAGACCGTCCCGACGAACTCGGCGCCGGTGATGCTCCTGTGCCGGAACGACCCGCCCACGGCAAGCTGGCCCCGCGCGTGCAGCACGGCGAGCCGGGCGCAGGTCCCCGTCCCGCAGGGGCTGCGGTCGAGGCGGCCCGGGGACACGACGACGGTGTTGGTGGCCACCAGCTTGCCGCCACCGTCGGCGCCGTCCTCCTCGTCAGCGGCCCTTAGCATGGGCGCCGTGAACTCGAGCACGCTGACGCCGCGGATCTCGGGGTTCTCCGGGTGCACGGGGTCGGTCTGGGCCTGGACGGCGCGCTTGATGCGCTCGCCCACGTCCACCAGCCGGGTGCCGTTGGCGCTCTCGATCTCCAGGCCGGCCGACGCGGCGTCCACCAGGACGTACCACATGCCTCCGTAGGCGATGTCGACCTTGACCTTGTGGTCGAAACCCGGCACGTCGATTTCTAGGTCTAGGGCCCACACAAAGGCCGGCACGTTACGAAACTCGACCGACCTGGCCTTTCCCCCGGCGCACTCCGCCGTTACCGTCACCAGGCCTGCCGGTGCATCCAGTTTCAGCGTGGTGGTCGGCTCCTTCATGGGCACCATGCCGGTCTCGAGAAGTACCGTGGACACGGCGATGGTGTTGGCGCCGGACATGGGTGGATACTCCTCATGCTCCATAATAATAAACCCGGCATCGGCCTCCGGATTGCAGCGGGGGAGGAGCAGGTTGGCGCACATTGCAGAGGAGCCCCGCGGCTCGTTCAGCAGTAGGTTGCGCAGACGGTCTTCGTTTTGCCAGAAGTACATCATCTTCTCGAACATGGTCTTGCCCGGGACGTCGAGGACCCCGCCTGTGACGACGTCGCAGACCTCGCCGCCGACGTGGGCGCCGACGACGTTAAAAGTCCGTCCAAAGGTCATAGTTTCAGGTAGGATCAAGGTAAATCTGTTCGGACGGAGAAGGATTCAATCAGGACAAAGACACCTTAGGATTGTACGTAGTAAGGACTATGGCTGTTGGGTGCTCTGCTCAAGTGGGTGCTTTCAGCAAGCCTGCGACAGCACGGCTATACAATGTCCGGACAGCCAATTGCAGGGTTGTTGTGGTCTTCCGGCCGGCATTCTTGAGTTGTAGTGATATTCAGTCCGTATCAAATTATATTCTTTTGTTAACACTTGAAGAGTATGTTTTAGCTTGTTGAATTAACAATGTTTTGAATTGTAGTACCTACCGAGTCCTGCCCGTGCCCCAGGTCCGGTTAGCATGCAGGTGTGCCGTAGCGCCTTGGCATGCGTCCCCGGGACACTGGCTGACAGGCAGTAGCACTCCTCCGTCTTTCGGGGCAAGTTCAATATCAGGACGACCAAATTATCGGGGCTCAGCGCCGTTGGCCATTGGGTCAAATGCAAACCCGATTATTATTAAACATTACCATTCCCAGTGAGTGCATCTCGGGAAGGATATGAGCACATTTTATGTTAGCCCAAGAGTTGAAAAGTCGAATCGCTCCTGGCCACGAGACGCCACTGCCGCGCAGTAAACAGTCTCATTCTACACCACACCCTCTTGCTGTCTCCGACTTGACCAGCGGTCCCGCACGGGAAAACAGACAAGAGACAATGGGCGGCTTCCGAGTCCTCAGCGACAGTGCAGTGCACGACATGCTGATCAACCTCCCGCGGGCGGACATCCTCGGCTTCCGCGACACGCTCGCGCAGTGCCTGGTCGACTTCTCCACGGCCCAGGAGCGCAAGTACCAGCCGCCCGCCGGGATCGTGAACCGGCCCGAGGGCCAGCGGTGCCTGTTCAGGCTCTTCACCTCGGCCAGCAACGTCGGCGCCAAGGTCATCGTCTCCCCTTCGCCCTCGTCCCCCGCCGCCGCCAGCGGCCTGCACGGCATGATCGCGCTCTGCGACCAGGACGGCCTGCCCGCGGGCGTGCTCAACGCCGGGGAGGTCACGGGCTACCGCACCTCCCTGGGCGCCCTCATCCCCTGGCTGTGGCGCCGCCGCACCGACAACGTCGTCGTCTTCGGCGCGGGGAAGCAGGCCCTCTGGCACCTGCGCCTCGCCCTCGCGCTCCGCGGCGACGAGATCCGCTCCGTGAGCGTGGTGAACCGCTCCGCCGACCGCGGCAGGCAGCTGGTCGAGACGCTCGGCCGGGAGAACAGCGAGCGCTGGAAGTCGGCGGCGACCCTGGAGTACGTGGACCCCTCGCGGCCGGACTACGACGCCTGGCTCGAGAGCAGCCTGGCTGTTGCCGACGCCGTCTTCTGCACGGTGGGCACGACGACGCCGCTGTTCCCGTCAAAGTATGTCACGGGCGAGAAAAGGGAGCGCCAAGCCTACGTCTCGGCCGTCGGCTCGTGGCAGCCGAACATGATAGAGCTGGACCCGTCCCTGCTGCAGCATGTCGTCGCCCGCCCCGACCTCGGCTTCCGGTGGGCCGAGAGCTCCGGCGGCGTGGTGCTCGTTGACGACCGCGAGGGGACGTCGGATCACGCCGGCGAGGTCGTCGCGAGCAAGCTGAAGGCTGAGAACCTTGTCGAGGTCGGTGAGGTCGAGGACCTCAAGAGGCGGGCCGACAATCCGGACCTCGTACGCTGGCTTGAGGATGGGCTGCTGGTCTACAAGAGCGTCGGGGTCAGCATGACGGATCTGGCTGCCGGGAATGCCATCCTGGCGTTGGCTGAGAAAAGAGGCGCCGGGACCACGATTCCCGAGTTTTAGATTATGCGGAACTGTTCAGCTAGAATGCAGTGATGACTGTGGCTCATCTTACCTCCGGAATGAGGGCTGAGTCTGGAAGCTCAAAACTTTTGCTGGCGATTGTGACCATGAAACCATGGATTCGAGGCTGATTGGAATAGCTGGAATCGCACCCTGTTCGCGTTCAGGGCGTCAACATGCGATGGATCATGTGGTCCAGGTATTCTGGTGTGTTCCAGCCTCCGGCCATGAAAATAGTAGGCCGTGCTCAATACTGGTACCAAGTCCGTCTATATTCACCTGGACTTAACGACCGGGAATACTCGGAGCCTGAACAACCCGGTGCACTAAAGCGTAACGAACGCTCTACCGTTATATGGTGCGCGACAGCGCCGACTTTCCAAAAACCCCCTGCACCCCTATAAACACACCTATTAGATTACACTCCTAGCTAGTTAATAATGCAATAATATATGTTTAATTAATTATTAGCCCTATAAATACATATAAATTAATTTAGGGGGGCTAGCTACTTAAAACATAGAAGCAATATAATAACTTACTTTTCTTAGCAAAAAAAGAATGCTTAACACCTTAATATTATTTTCATTCCTTTTAACCTATAATACCCTTAATAATATATTATATAACACTTATACGCACCTCTTTATAATACTTATAGCTTATTATAATTAATAATTTATATCTTAAAATATATACTTATTAAATTTTTTTATTAAAAATAACTTAATTTTAATAAAAAATAAAGATATATATATTATTAAATATACTTTATTACTTTATTTAGCTTTATTAAGGCAATAAAGAATATATAATAGCTAACTATTTTATAAATTTTTACTTTTTATATTTTCCTTAATAAGCTCTTATAACTATATATATAGTTATATAATTAAAATAGCCTTTTTATTTAAGGCTAGCAAAGGCAATTATAAGCTTAAATAGCTAAAATCTTTACCTTGCTTAATTTAAAATTTTAATATAAATAATAATAATACTTTTATTAGCTTATTTTATAATAAAAAATATATAAATAGCTTTATTTAGCAGCCTTAAAGTAACTTTAATAATATAATTAAGGTTATTATTAATGCTTAATAATAAATTAACCTTATTTATAATAATAAGGAGATTATATAAGCCTTAAATATTTAATTTAATAATAATTAGCCTTTAAATAATAATAATTAAATGCATTAATTAAAGATTTATAATATTAATAATAATAAAAAGGTTAAATAGCTTATTAAGAAGCTTAAGTAAGCATAAGTTAATATTAAGTAGTTTAAAAAGCATTATATATTAAAAATGAGCCACTTAAATAATGGGGAATAGGTTCTGCTAAATCCTCTTAAGGATAACTTAAGGAAGAGCTTTAATATAATAAAAAGGGAAGATAGGAATAAAAGGGAGTTGAAAAAGAAAAAAGGTAAGTATTTTAAAAATTCTTAAAAATAAGAAAAGCTTAATTAAAGTATTAAATATATAAAAAAAGAGAAAAGTTAATTTCTTTAAAAAAATATTTAAAAGAGTAAAAGAGCTAGTTTTTTATAATTAGTTAAAATTTAATATAATATTATTTTTCCCTGCATTTCTTTATACTTATTAATATACTCCTTTTTAAGTACTTTATAATAAATATTATAAAGATTGCTAAAATAAAACCTTATTACCTTTAATTAAGCCTTTAAATTTTAAAATTTACTTTATTATAATTTAAATTATTATTATTATTTTTAATTTCTTACTTATTTATTTTATTATAGCTTTTATTTTTTTATAAAAGCTTTAAATATTCTTAAGATTTATTTAATAATATATTTATTAATTATATCTTTTTAATTATTAAAGTTTATTTTAATAATTAATATAAGTATAATTATTAAAGATTTAAATATCTTTATAAAATAAAAAATAAATTTTTTTTTTTTTTTAATTATTATATTAAGTATAATATATAAGCTTTATTAATTTTTACTTTTGCTTTTTATAAAGCTTTTATTTTTAAATTTTATGCTTTATATTTTATTATTTAATTAACTTATTAATAAGCTTATTAAATTATTTTTAAATAAACTTTATTATTACTTTAAACTTTATTATTATTTTAATTACTTAAAGTTAATTAATATACTTTAAGTTTTATTTATATTTATTATTAAAAAAAATAAATAAAAAAGATCTTTATATATATTAAAATAAGCATTTCTTATTAATTTTAAAATATCTTATAGCATAATATTTAAGTTAAAAGCTTATTTAATTAAAATTATACTTAATTAATTTTAAATTATATAAAAATTTATACTTTATTATATATTAAATATTTAAAATTAAGTTATTAAATTAATTTATATTAAAAGTATTATTTCCTTTATATCTTTCTTTTAATTAATAGCAATCTTAATATATTATAATTTAAATAAATATTATTAAATAATTTTTCTTTATAATAAAAGCCTATTTCTTACTTTAATTACTTTTATATTATTAATTTTAATAAGAGAAATTAATATAAATATTTAAATAACTTTATTAATCTTATTAAGCTTTAATTAAATAATAAATATTTAAATAATAATATTAATAATAGCTTTAAGTATTTTAAGGTATATAATTTTAATTAAAGTAATTTTAGCTTAATTTTATATTTCTTAATTATTCTTTCCTTAATTTTCCTTAAAGTAGTTTTTAATAAACTTAATAATATATTATTTATAAAATATTTTATTAATTTATCTTAATTTAAGTATAAATTTCTTATTAAAATCTTATATTTTATTTTTTAAGGTAGTTATTAAATATTTATAAATAAGTACTTTAATATTTTTATTTATCTTATTATTTTTATCTCTTAATATAAAATTATTTTATAATAAGTAATAATTATTAATTTTATTAAAAATTATTATTATTTAATAATTAAGTATATAAATAAGCATAATAATAAATTTATAATTCTTTATTAATTTATATTATTAATATTTTATAAATAAAAATTAATTATAATGCAAAGGCTTTTTAAATAAAAATATAATATCTTAAAAATTAAAAAGCTATTAAATTATAAAAGCTATAATATATTAAATCCTTAACTTTTTATATTTATAAAGCATTCCTTTTATATTAAAGAAATTAAGAATAAGAAAGGTTTAATGCTATTTTATTAAATTTATTAATTTAGCTAATTTTCTTAGCTTAAAGTAAAAGTTAATATTTAAAAAGTATTTTTATATTATCTTTATAAGCTTATTATTAAATATTATTTATTTTATATTAAAAAATAATAAATAATTAAGGATTTAAGTTTGCTAAATATTATTTAAGTAAACTTTATTTATAATAATTTTTATTTTAAAAGAATTTTTAAAAAAGTTAATATTTATTTTTTAAGTAAAGTTTTATTAATTTTATATATTTATAATATTTAAAAATTATAATGCTTTATTAAGTAAATCTTTAAAGTTATTAAAATAAGAAAATTATATAATTATTAATATAAGATTATTTTCTCTTAAAGTAATAGGTTTAATTATTAAAATTAAAGCATTAAGGTTTTAAAATACTTTATAGCATAAAAGTAATTAAAATTACTTCTTTACTTTACCTTTTTAATTAAAAGATATCTTAGTTTTTAATTATAAGAAAAGGAAGTAAAGAAAATAGCTAATAAAATAAAGAGTGCATAATAAAAGTTAAGTAATAAAAAAGGAAAGTATAATAATAAAAAGAGCCTTGCACCCTTAAGAATTACTATATAGGTAATTAAGATAAAAAGGATTAAAAATAAAAAAAAGAAATATTTAATGCTTAATTATAGCTTTAAGTAGCTTTTATAAATAATTATTACTTATCCTTAAATAAAAATTAAGTAAGGGAAAAGATTAATATATTAAAAGTATATCTTTTATTAAAATAGCTAAGTAATAGCTAATTTTTAACTTTTAATTAATAATAATATAAAGATAAAAAGAAAAAGAAAGAAAGGTAGGAAGAAAGTTTAGCTATAAATAAATAAATATAGCAATATATGCAAATTTAAAGTAATAAAAGCTAATAACTTACTGCCCTTAAGTTAAATAATTGCATTAATTAAAAAAAAGGAGTGATAAAAAAGCTTATAAATTATTATTAAAAGCCATTAGTTTATTATTTTGCTAATAATTAAAGTAAATAAGGCATATAATTTTTTATTTCTTTTAAATAATAATTAATTATAAAGTATACCCTTTTTAATTTATAAGTTTATTAAGCATAAATTAAAATAAATTACCTAGCTAAAATTCCTTTATAATAAAAGATAAATAACTTCTTTATAAATAAAGAATTAAAAGTAAGTAATCCTTTTTAAGCAATAAACTAATCTTAATTAAAAGTAAAGTAATAAATTACTTTTTTTAATAATAAAGTAGCTTATTATTAGCATTGCTTACCTTTTCTTATTATAATAACATTATATATATAAATTTTTTTTCTTTTCTTAAATTTCTTTTTCTTTTTTTCTTTTTTTAATATTCTTTTAACTTTAATTAGCTATTAAGTTAAGTTAAAATTAAAGCAAAATATTATAATCCTTTTATCTTTAAATATTTTTTTATAATAGCATTTTTATTAATAAACCTTTTTTAATTAAAAATAAAAAGTTTAATATAAAAAGATTTCCTTTTTTCCTTTTAAGCTATTTATTATAACTTATAAGCTAAGTAAATTTTAATTAAGGGTATTTATACTTTCTTTAAGCTAAAAAGTATTTTTAATAAAAATTAATTTATTAAGATTATCTTTTATAATATTTTTATAAAAGATATTTAAGTATATAAGATTATTAATATTAAATAAAATTAATATTTTACTTAATAATTTATTAATTTTACTTTTTAAAAAGTAATTAAAGAATTATTTAATAAATTTTTTAATAAGTTATAAAAAAAGTAATTTTTAAATAATATTAAGAATTTAATTAAAAGTTATATAAATATTATTATTATTAAAAAAAGTAA